GCCATGGGTTCAAATCTGACCTCTGCCCCTGCCGCATGTCATCCCCCACTCTCTACTCCTAATATTTCCTGTCTCTCTTTGGCTGTCTATCTAATAAATACAAACAAACAAACAAAAAGACCCTACTTTAAATCAGACCTGTTGATGACTTTCGATTTTGGACACTGAGAGAATGACCACTGTTCTTTTTGAACTGGATGACATCCTAAGATAAGTCACATGGGAGTCCCTCATACAGCTTGCAAGTTAACCTTTGTTCTTATTTTATTGTAATACTGAGGCCATGAACACTGGCAACTGTACACTGAAGGAGCACAGATGGATATTGGTTTTGTATTTTTTTGGAAATGTTGGCAGGTTACAATAAACCGCTTTCCTGTAAATCTGTGCACTTCCCCATCTTCACTTTTGCTCGTCAGTCTGTCTTGCCACATCATGCAGTTTCTGATTCAAGCAACTCTTGAAAACAGACTATAGTGGTGAGGAGTTGCGTTGAAGGATTTAAAATGATTTCATAATTAATGATTTCTTCTTTCTCTTTAACCCAGAAGAAGAGATCTAAGGCTATGGGGACTTTTGTTTTGAAGGACATGAACTGATACTGATAAGAGGATATGATCCTGGCGACCATGGTGTGTGAGTGTGTGTGTGTGTGTACATTATGTGTGGTTGTGTGGCCTTCTCCATACACGTCCCAGGATGTGGGCTCCTCGTCCACCTGTCTCTCCTCTGACTGTGTCCTCAGCTCTCTCCCAGTTCCTCTCCTGATGCCTATTCTCATCTCACCCACACTTCTTCTAAACCAGCGTGCTCCCCAGAGACTCCACCAACACCCTCCACACCCCCGCTTGCATAATACAACCTGTTCACGGAAAATCACAACTTCCTAAAAAGGAGTTCTTTGCATACTTTGTGTCTCTCTCACCTGGCACAGCGTAAACGAAGCCTTTAGTTAGAGTAACACACAACCTAACTAAGACAACAACAAAACACAACATAACACTAAGAGACAGGTCAACTTCTCAATACGCTGAGACTAAACCAGCAGAGATTTTACATAGGATCCAGAACGGGTTGCCATGTCTTGGAAAAAATGTTTTACTCCTTTTACAAGGTGTCAAATTCAAGATGATATACACTGGAAAACAACAACAGCTAAACTGAAAGGTCAGCGCTGATTCTGCAGACAAACCTCAGGAGCACAGAGGACCAAGGAGTCAGCAATACAGAGAAATCAGGAAATGAATAGACACAATTATTCTGTGACATTTATCAGGGAAAAGCCTTCTTTTATATTGCTTTTTTTTAAGTTTGTCTTTCCTTGAATTGCAGCGTTTCACAAAACTGCTGCTGCTTCCTTTAAGCAGCCAATTGGATAGTAATGCTACAAAAGAAGAAGGGTATGGTGGCAACATCAGTTCTGTTTGTCACCCGTCTCTAATGATTTATTGTGGGAAGCCTCAGACACCTCAAAGACATGTTGCAATATAAAGAGAACCACATTGCAGACACTGGAAATGTGAGCAAAAAAGAGACTTAGTTAGCAGAAAGGTTAAGAGCATGCATCTCCTTTTCTTACTAATGGTCTGCTTGAAGGGGTGGAGGGGGAAAAAAATAATCCATCAAATGTGTCCAGAATATGTGCTAGTATTACACAAGCAAACGCAAAAAAAAGCATTTTCAAAAAACATGGCATGCGAAGTAAGGGTAAACTGTGATTTGTGACTCTGCCTTCATAGAACTCTCTGTCTGATTTTATTGTCTCATTTCAGCAACGTCATCTTTAAATACTGCGTTTGACCAGGAAATGAATCAACATCATCAGAACATGAACTTAAACAGTAATGATATTTTGATTGTTTTTACTACATGTCCTGCCCCAGCCATGAGCTTCTCAAATATTAATATAATAATCATAGGTCTGCCTCTGTGATGTAATCAAACTTTATATATGTTTGAATGTCAAAATATCAAAAAGACAATAAGAACATACATTTTAAAAAAGGAACACACCGACATATTGGTGAACACACTTTTAAATTCCAGCAGAGAGACAGATTAAATAGATTTAAGTCGACTGATTTGTATTAGTCATATGGGTTTAAATACAACTTGTGTTTTGAATTGATTTTGAATTGAATTTTCTAATTGAGGACAGAAGTTTTATCCAGAGCAGCAAACCTGGCTCAGTACAAAAGTAAAAACATCCCACTACAACGATTTATAAAGGTCAACTATAAATAAATGATTAAATGTCAGAAGTGCTTTATTAAAGCAACACTTGTTGATAAGGTACTCTAAGAAGCTGCTAGCTGGGTCTATTATGAAGCCTACCAATCTTTGATTTTTTTTTCTTCTGGTGCTCAATTTAAAAAACAATGATAACAAAGTGCTCAACGTTATTGTAATCAATACACAGACAAACAAAGCCTTTGACACAGCTGTGAGGAATATTCACTTTGTTTCATTTTTGAAAATTTAAACAAAGGCTCTTTTTGAATAAATGCTGTGAATCTCGTTTCAGACACCAACCCGGTAAAAGCAGTGAGAGCCAATAAAGTAACTATTCTAACAGAAGTCCGTAGTTCAACACTGACACTGTTTCATTAGTTCTAAAACCTCTCACAGCAAATATAAGACCGACACAAGATAAAGGTTTTATACTATATTTTATACAATGAGAAATAAACTAAATGTAGGTCCAAACAGAGAACTTCTATCTCAGGGTTAGATGGTTTTAGGTTAAATCCATTTTTGAGGTTTTTTTTAAGTAGCCTCATTCTTTACCAGTCCTTAGTTTGAGAGTCCAGGATTCAAAGTAATATTTGTGCCATGATGACATAGCTGTATTTATGAAGTGACAAGTACAGTTTTATATGTCCCTGAATACAAGTGTAACTGTAATAAATAAATCAAATGCTTATCCAGTATCAGAGATGTTATTTGAGGGGCTGGGGGTAGAGACAGTTTCCTGTCACAGTTTTTAAGTCAGTTCCTGTTCTGTGGAAGTAAGACAGAACTGCTGCCATATAGATAACACACACACACACACACACACACACACACACACACACACACCAACACACACACATACACACACACACACACACACACACACACACACACACTCACACAAACACATACACACACACAGACACACACACACACACACACACACACACACACACACACACACACACACACACACACACACACACACACACACACACACACACACACACACACACACAAACACACAAAAAGATAATATTCCACCTGTGTTTTTATTCAGTGAACCATCATATTGAATTTTCTAATTAAGGAAAGAGGTTTAGAGATGTCATATGAGGAGCGCATGACCTCTTTTACTGCGAAATCGCTGTGAGTCAACACACACAAACACACACACACACACAAAAGAACTGCTGTCATTAAAAAACACATTGACAGGGATGTCAAACCCTGTTTCCAGAATTTCCTGAATTATGTTCATTTTTTTTTTTTTTTTAATCCAAGGCAACATTTATATTTTTATATTATAATACATGCAGTATTTAAGGTTTATTTTTATGGTACGTGTTTTGTGTGCATGATTTTGGTTCTAATTGCTATTTTGTTACTTTTTAAATATATATTTTCAAGTATTCAGGCGACTCCAAATGTTTGCTCAGTACATTTGGAATACATTTAGAATTTAGACTAACCTAGAAACTCAGGTGTATTATACTGAGGAACTGAAAATGATTGTGTGTGTGTGTGTGTGTGTGTGTGTGTGTGTGTGTGTGTGTGTGTGTGTGTGTGTGTGTGTGTGTGTGTATGTAAGGCTTACTGCTTGAATCCAGAGACATTGCACGCACTTCCCTGCCAACATTGCCACCATGACTTAAGTCTGACATTTGAAATGACGCTGTCGTCTGATCTGGTCTTAAACAACAAACTGAGTCAGACTCAAGAGAAGAAAATCTATGTTGTTGTCTCATTGTGAAAATTTGGAGTGATTCGGCACCTCGCTTTCTTTCTTTGTTACTCATAAGACAGACCTGGGGTTGGCGGGGGGCTCTGAGAGCTTCCCTGCCTTTGGTATACTATATCCTTATTTTAGTTTCATGTTCCATGTGTTTATGTTTCATCATTGTGTGCTGTAATCAAAAGTATGGTCTGAGTAAATAGCAGTCTCAGTCAAGTAGTAGTTCCCTCGCTCAAACTTTGTTGTTGTCTCTGAGTCGAGAAAAAGTGGTTTATTAATGATTTCCTGATGAGTTTCAATAGTAAAAAAAAAAACAATAACCCTAAATTATCAAGATTTCAAGGAAAAAACAAGTTTAGTCTTAAGTAACTTCTTGTTGTCCCAGACACCAATAGACACCAAATCTATGAGGATACTAAATATTTCTCAAAATGTGAGACTTGATCTTGATTTTAAAGTTTCTACCTGATGGCCTATCGTGCAATGCAATAGACTTTAAAACAATATTTTACATTTGTATGATTCATCCATCAAGCCTGATAAAAAGTTGATCAAGCACAAAAGACATGTTCTGTATACTGTATGGGCCGAATGGCCCTGTCTCATCTGATATGCAACAGTGGTTTGTATTTATTTTCATGTTTTAGAGCGTTGTGTTAGGCACCTACATAAAGTCAGGGAAATATTTATTGTTGTCAAAGAAACACTGTGGTCTTATTGTGTCGTCATGCGCTCATGAAGACACTGATCATGCTGAAAATAGACTTACTGTACCGTTAAATTCAATGGCTGAATGGCTGCCTAGATAGTTAAAAAACAAAGGCACAGAACCCTTTGGAGAATTGTTGAAAACAATTAAAATATAAGTGATTTAAACTCAATAGCCTTAAATATGATTCTTTTCTTCTTAACTGAGAACATTTAAATGTAAAGCATGAGTCTTTGCCAATCTTCCAAATCTCTCAGCTACAACACAAATGTATATTGTCCACTTTTACAATATGTCAACAGTCAAAAAGAAGACAAGAACATGTGAAGTTAAGTAAAAACTTTCTTTTACTTGAAATACAGTTTATAGAAAATGAAGAAATGATGGTCCACTCAAACAGTCCAGATAGTAAAACCTATCTGTAATACAATGCCACATTGAATCTGCCATGCAACCTACAACAGCTGATTTTTTCCACTGAAAAAATTATAAAAATATCTTACAAAACATCAATTAGGTGTGTTTATCCAAAACTGTTTCACATAAGGAAGAAACTCAAAAACAAGAAAAGTCATGTGTGTCAAAATATAATTAAGAAATGAGAACTGAATTTATCATATCAAAACTGTTGTCGTACCAACATGTGTATGAGAAGCAGAGGATTTATATTACAGATATTTGTTTGATGAAGTCAAATGAAATGAATCTGTTTGTTAAGCTTTGCAGCACTCATTGCATGAAAACTGTCTAAAATAATAAAGCTAAGGTGAGACACAGAGTCTGTATCGGCTTTAGGTATCTATAAACACTATCATACAGTTCCTTTTGACCGAGGAATCTGATTGGACAAGATGCGCTCCATGAGTGCTGTTAAGTACAACAGTACAAGGACTTTTTTCTACTGTTACTACTCCGCCTCAGGTTTGGAGTTATCTAACTTTACAACAGACTATCTTTTTCTTTGATTGATTAAGCTTTACTGTACCTCTGAATCACATCTGGCAGTGAAGTCACGTGAGACTCTTATTTCTCGTATGCACGATAAATGGAAACATTTAGATATATGCACAAAATCTGAAGAAGCTTGTTTGCTGAATTATGTGGTAAAAACAAACACAGCAAAAGTGCAGGAAAATGTTTGGTTTGTCTAGTTTTGGTGAAGTTGAGGAACTGGTTGTGTAGGTGGAGTAAAATTATAGTTTGAATTCACAATATTGTAATGATATGTTGTTACTTATTACATTTCTTTATGCTGCCTGTAGAACCTTTGTATAAAAAGATCACACTGAAGGTTGAAATTTTGTACTGAATATCAGCACTGGTCTGATTATGTCATAGGCACGAGGCCACAGACTTATTCCCAAACATAATCAACAGCAATCCCTTTAAAAGAAAATTGATTTACTGACACACAAAATATAGAGGCATCCTAATAAATAGCTGCATCTTAAAGCCGTTACTGCCTCATATTTGATTGCTATGACTCTAAGTCAATGTGAAACTTGATACTTTTTCATCTGGGTCAATTGTGTCAATGTATGTCAGGAAAATAAAAAAAATAGCCTTCATATATCGTACATTCAGTCTTAAGAGCTCCTGGCAGGTGTGTATCTGCTCCCAGTTCAGGCAGTGATGGGCATGTTGTCCCTGTAGCAGGCTGGCCTCTGGGGGGCGCTGTAACTGCACAAGTCCTGGTAGATGCGAGCCATCTGATCAGTCGCTGCACTATCAGACATCTCCAGGTTGAGGTTGTTGGAGAAGGGCTGAGGACGCCTCATGTTCACTGTATCTAGCAGGTGCTGGCAGTGCATTACAGTGATCTGTAATACAGAGAGAGGAGATAGAAAAATGTGTCTAATTGTGAGTATGAGTCTGATTGTATCAGGATCCAAATTTCACACCCAAAATGTGTCTTTTTCCAATAACTTTATTTAAATAAAAGGTTTTAAAAAATTAATGAAATGTCCCACCAAATAAAAGCTTTACTTGCATTGTTTTTTTCCCCCATATCCTTCTTTTAACAAATGTACATTAATTCCACCAGTCAGCTGTTATAGTAAGACAAACTTGCCTAGATGGGGCTGGCCTTACCTGCACAATGATCAGTTTGCTCTTTGCATTGCTGAGATCCTGGAGCTCCTCTCCAAAACAAAGAGTCACTGTCGGATCTGGAGCAGAAAACTGACCCTCCTGGTACAGCTGAAGGGCTGGAACGTAGAGATGAAGTGACAAGCTGTTTAGAAAACCCCACAAACATCGATCCTCTCTTATGATCCTGCTTTCTGCAAGCATTGGTATGAAACGTATGCGTTCTTATGAGCTCTAATAACTAAATTACTGAACATAGATCTCACCTTGTAGAAACCTCCCAGTGTCAAAAATCTTTACGACAGCATCCCTTTCCAGCTTAGATGACATGGGGCCGTATTGTGAGCCTATTTCTCCAAGTCCGCTCCAGAAGACCCGGCTCTGGCACAGCCTCTTGATGAAGATGCCTTCTTGGTTGGCTCGGACCAGCACACCTCTCTCCAGGTGGCCCAAGAGCTTACGTGTGACAAGCCGCTGGCGGTCGAACTCAATGAGCTCAGCATGGGGAAAATAAACACTTTGCATGCTGTCTGAACTGTAAAGTGCGCCTCGGCCCAGGTGCTGCTGTGGGGAGATCCTGCAGCCTTCAGGATGGGTAACCATTTGTGTGTGCATCAGCTTTCCTCCGTAGTAGAAACTGATCATCATTTGGGAGAAAGCTGGAGAGAAAAGACTTGGTAAGAATTGCAAATGAAAAAAAAACCATTACCCTTGTAACTCATCAATTGACCATGAATAATATAAATGCACACCTGAGCTGACAGCACCTGATGGCAGAGGGTCCTGTTGCAGTGTGAAAGCTGTGAAAAACAAGAGGAAGAGATTGAGATGAGATGACCACACATGTCATGTCATTATTCTGCTGCATCATCAGAAAAGAAGAATTTCTCCAGCACGATCACACAAAGAATTAATCACCTTAGTCAGCAAAGTTCAACAGGATGTTAGTCAATTCTTCCATTGCAGAATTCAACAGACGAGCCATGAAGCTCTATTTAGTACCCACAAAAGCAGGGGCATGTCATTGAACTTTCCACTGTGGTTATTTTTGCAAATGTATTAAAGCTAATTTCTCGTAAAGATGGAACAGTCTTACTTGAGATACACGGCAGGAAAATGTGTTAACCACACTGACCTCAGCTTAGTTGAATAAAAGTTGTTTTAAAAACGGATTAGAAAAGGTCATCTTACCGTTCATGCTGCCCTGGGACCAATACTCTGGACTGGCCTGGATACGACTGCCTTCCTCCTGCAGACAGACAGAAAACACAAGTCGTTTCCAGCAGAGAACCTTCGTACACTTACTGTTCATAAGGAGTTAGTGGGAGTATGTGGGTACTCAGTTCAACAAGTGTATAAAGGAGACCATGCATTTGCTGCTTTGGGGGGAAAAAGGGTGTCAAATGTCGAGTGGCCATACAGTGCACAGAAACAGGGGGGATGAATGAAGGAGAAACATGGTTTGATAACTGTTGTTAAGTGAGGAGTGCTCTCACCTCTTTAATGAATTCCTCTATTGCTGCAGGGCTGCAGTCCATGTCTGTGATATCACCAGAGCTTGAAGTTGCCATGGCCATCATTGAGCTTTTGCCATCTGAGGGTCAAAGAAGAAGACTCTCTTCACAACGTGCCAAACAGAAACACAACATCATGTCTGCCAAACAGTCTTGAAATGGTTCATATTTATTACATTCATTTGTCCTGCAACATGTTATTGAATAGAAATTCAAACAATACTTTATAATGTTTTTTTAAATAGTTTTATAAAATATATCTATTATAAGTCATCAATGCTGGCCTCAGGAAATCAGTGGGTTAAATAAAAGAGAAATGTGTTGATTTTAGCAGGAAAATTAACACTCAAACCACACAAACTCACGCTTCTGCTCTTCCTCGGGTACAATGCGGTAGACTTTGTAAGGCTCAGAGATGTCCAGCTGTGACCTTTCAGTCACCTCCTCAAAGTCAGGGCTTTTATTCAGGGCACAGCGAAGCCGGGTCTTCCATGTTGCAGGCTCAGCCTTGTCCCCCTCCTTAAACTTGCCTTTGAACAAAGCCCAGGCCTGTGGAAAGGGAAAACATGTATAAAGGTAGTATGTAAATGATTGTAATTAATGCTTAAAAAAACATTAAAGCCTATTCTTTGATTAAGAAACCCGTTTGATACAAAAAGAAAGAAAGAAAGACAGAGAGAGAAATAAAGAAATAAAGAAACAAAGAGAAATCCTCAATAAGGTGTGTACTGCATTGTCTTCATTTAACTGGTTTGAGTCTATTTTTTAAATTTCGGCTATAGAATGGCTAGTTTAACTCCATATAAAAAGCGACATTTAAATGTCTAAAAAAAATCCCTTCAGCCACAAAGAGCCAAACTTAAAGAACCAACAGACAGGCCAATCAAGTTTTGGTTTTACGCGCAGTTCTGCGTATAATCAGAATCTGGTGTTATATCCATGGGAAAACACAAGAATGCTGTCAAACCTTGAAAATGGATGCATCCACTTCTTGGTTGTAATCCTGTTTTCCTGCGTGTTTCCATGGAATTCGGAACAAAGTGCGTGTCTCATCCTCCCACTGCAGCCCAGAGTACTGCGCGCTCTCGATCTGCTCAACCAGCCACTGCTTCAGTCTGCGCCCTCCAGAGTTTGACATCTTGACCAAGGAAGGTTGTTTAAGGATCGTTCACCTGTACCTTACTGTAGAAATATAATATGTAATAATGGATATCAAATTATTGTAACTTTTGTTACACTTTTTAGAGACAACTTTCACTCTTCCATATTAAAAGTTAAAGCAAAAACACTTACAGTTTGCGAAGATGACCGATGGCTCACTGTCAGATTTACTCAAGTGAGATCACTTGTCCCCGACACATGCCTATCAAACCCACAGTGCTCACTGTTATGAATGAACTATCTGATATGTGATTGGACAGCTCCGCCTCCATCTGACCAATGACGGCGCTGAAGCTTTATTGTGCCGGCCCATTTAGAAGCGCTGTTCTTCTAACCGTGGGTATTTACAAGAAATGGCCTGACATAAGCGCTGGTTGTTAAAGTGCTGCCCACGCCGTCGCAGAGCGCAGAATAAACCCGGAGAGTCACAAGTTACTTTAGACTGTGGGGGATTTTTGTGCTGCACGCCAACGTAATTAATGCACTCGTACGCCCACGCTAGAATGAAGACAAGCCACAGGAAATATTGTTCAGGTATGCTGAAGTAGACCACTGTCTGTATGATGCCACGGGAGGATGATGCCACTAGACCAAGTCTAATATTACTACAATGTCAAACATGATGGAAGGAGGGTATTTGAACAGAAACAACAAAGAGAAGTATCTTTGTAAAAAATGCATCTTGGTTATGAAACAGACTGAAACTAATACAGGTTCATTCAGTGATTCAATAATACAAATAAGGGGGATAAACTGGAAAGCTTCTCGGCCGAGTCCATGGAGAGTGTCCATGGAGGTTAGCAAAAAAAACAAAACATGGTCCATCCTAATTTAAAGCTACAATGACCAAATATAATTGTACACCTAAATACTAATTTTTACCTCTTAAAGTAACAAAACAAGTTTTATTTAGTGTTGCTTCAATTATTTCCAGCCTGTTTCAATGAAAAGCCCCTCTTCGTAAAGTGAATATGCATACATTAAAATAAATCATATCTTAGAAGGGCCCATTCACCGGGCCTTTCATGGGCTCGGCCATGTCTGTGTGCGGGCCTGTGCCTTTCGCCCCTCCTGCGGGTAGTTGTCAGACAAGACTATTAGCAGCACGCTGCAGAATAGGCCTTTAAAAAAAGTAATTTCTCTATAATTCTTAATCTATTTCCTATTGTGACATATTGTTAAACTCGTGTCATGTAAGCCCCGTATGACACAATAATAAAATCAAAAATTCTAACTAAAAACTTCAAACTTCTTCTGAAATACGCAAGGAAAGCCTGCTTACAATCAAGCTTTTCAGCCATGACAGATTGAAATAATCACATATAGGCAATATTGTGCAAATAAACTAGTGTTCACTTTAAAGCTCCTGTGAGGAACTTTTAGTTTGTTTTGTTATTGACGACCCCTGTGGACATGGAGATATGTGCTGATATTGTTCTGTACATTGGAAGTGGTGTTTCCCCCCCCACAAAAAATCTCATGCTGGCTTCTTTTTACACTCAAATATATCACTAATCAAGAAACATAGCTGTGGAAAATGTAAAAAAAAAAAAAAAAAAAGGCTGGTTCAGCAGCGTGCAATAAATCCCTTTAACACTGGAGCGCAGGTACCCTAGTGGCCATGCAACCCAGCCTGGGTTTCACATCTGGCCTGTGGCTCCTTTCCCACACCTCAATCCCAATCGTCTCTGAAAAATAAAGGATTAAAAAAAAACCTTTAAAAATTACTTCGACACTATACCATGGCAGCATTTACAGGCATGAAAAATACAATATAGAAATAGTCATTGTTGTCCCTGATAGCCTTTTTTCACTTTTGTAGATCACAATTTGGTATGCCTATTAATTTCAGCCTGTTTCATAACCAGTTCAAGACTCCACAAAGGCGCTTTAAAGCAATAATTATGAAAAGTCTTAGACACACTATTGTTGAGTTAATAAAAAGCAAGGGGGCCGCCCCACATAGATTCCACAGAAACAAAATACCGGATTGGAAACTAGTGTTGAGTTGGTACTTTTTTTTTGTATTTTGTTTTATTTTTTGTAATTCAAAATAGTGAAACTAAGGAGTAAGCGTTCCTCATAAATTCTCAATCTGACATCTCTTCTTCATTTTCATTTCTTCACAGGGCAAAGTGACTGCCACTGCTGATATGAGACCTCTTTCTAAGGGAAAGGTTAATGTTTAAACACAATTAAACTTAATTATTATATGCTATATTACTATCTATACTTTGATGAAGAGTTTATGAAAACATCATGCAATAGTAATCAGTCACCAATGGTGATCAACATGTCCTGATGACTGCACATTGTTGTAATTACAATTCTTTTGCAATCAATTCTATATATATTTAGTTTCCATTTGATGGTCATTTCTGAAGTCGATCTCCATCTTATGGCATGATTCATTTATGTTTAGTTTGAATTCTACATTGTTGTAAAGTGAATAACTTATTGCAAAATGTGTCTGTCTCTTACAACTGTACTACTTTGTGTTCATTGGGTAAAGATCTGTCCCTGGTGAAAATTAAACTGGTAGGCAATGTTGTTAAGGTTGTGGTGGCTGCAAATAGCTATGTGGTATATAATGTAAGTTATCAGTGTGGCAAAAGCTTTGGGACGACGTAATGTCAGGGGCTCTGCACTAAGCACTTCTTGTGTTTTACAGCATTCAGGCACACGTTTTGAAAATCCTTGGTGAGCTTTGATCAGTAGTTAGTCATCCAACGGTTCATTTTCATGACCTGTAGCACACAAAGAAACTTGTGTAGTAAAGCACAATTACTTGGTGATGTGCTGAGTAAAACACTGTACAAACTCCAGACTGTAAGTTGAAACAAGCCATTTTAAAGTTTTCTCTGTGCAGTTTAAGGCTCCCTAATAAGATCAGCATGTTTATTGTTTTTTTTTTTCTCGGCTCTGGGGTGTGTTTCCATGCACACAGACACATACCATAGAGTTGATAGTACAGATTTATTAGCAGTTTAATTATTTAGTCAATCACAGATTTGTATTATAAAACAGGAACAACCAACACCATAAATATGCAATTCAAACAACTTCATGAACGTATGAGCACAATTACCTTAAAATCTGCTTTTTCACAAAAAAAAAACATGAATCAGAGCTTCAGTAAAATCAGGAAGACTCAAGCTTCACGTCAGCAGAGATCCTTCATGTGGACTTACAGTTTTACTCAGCCAGACATTATATAGAAAACCAGATTCACCTGCTACATTACATGTTTCACTTAAGGGAACATTTTGCCAATTTTAAATGAACTCACTACTCCTAGCTGTGTGCCTCCGTTTTTTTTTTAACAACTCTTTATCCAGTGAATCAAATGAAAGCTGTGTGGTTTGGGCGCAGACCCAACATCAGCCTTATCTGAAATCATGAGGTAACTCGGTACAGTTTTGTTGGCTGGTACATAGATGTCCAGCACAAAAGCTATTTCCTCACCAGCTACACCCATTGGCTGATATGAGGTCAAATATGCTTCCCCTGGGCATTGTTGGTGCTGGATTTAGTTGTAGACATGTGACATGGGTGCACTACTACCCACAAGTGAAGTTGGGGGTTAGCAGCATTACTAATAATTAGGACACACAGTATAGAGAGGAGGTTCAACACCTGCTTGAGTTGTGTTAAGAAAACAACCTGTTCCTGAACACCACGAAAACAAAGGAAATCCATGTGGGCTTTTATAGCTCTTGGTGAAGAGGTGGACATCGTGTAAAACAGCAAATTCCTGGGACTCTTCATGACTAAATAACTCCCCCCACCTGGTAAAGAACGCCTAATAAGATTTCCTTTTCTCAGGTAACTTAAACAAGGCAGACTCTCCTTTCAGCTACTGCTCAAACACAATGGAAAGCTGGTATCTCCAGTAAACAATGTTGCTCCATCAAGACCTGGACTGACAAACTCAGGAACAACTTCTTCCCAAAAGGTGTAGCCTCTAAGCCACCCCCCACCCCAAGTCCCATTTACATAGGAGAACACTTTCAATATGCTGCTTAAGACTTTTCTGCATAATGTGGCGCAACTGCACTTGATATCCGCTGCATTATGGTGCACATACTCTGCAATAGTCACTTTGACTTATTTTTTACTGTGGGTTTGTTCTTGTTTTATGTTTTTCCACTTGTTTGTATTATTATCTTGTCTATTGCAGCTGGGCTGATATTGTATGCATACAATGACAATACATAATCTTGTACTATCATATAGTGTGCAGACCCAGCAGATGACTGGGTGTAAACAAATTCTGTTTACTCAATGGGCAGTGATGTGCAACAGTGATATATTCATCTTTATCAGAACACCTTTAGGTGGCGAGTATAGCTGCTAATGACACCATAACTACAGCTGCAACAATTTCTCTAATTATTTTTAGCTTATTAACTGACTGATATAAATTTGAGCTTGTGCTGTATTGATACTTAACTGTAGATGTGAGCATGTGCTGCTTTTCTTTGCCATATATAGCTTTCTTTGTGTTTAAGACAGCTGAATTGAAAAAAAGAAGATATTTGAAGGTGTTATTTTAAGCTTTTAAAAATTGTGCTCCGCTCTTTTCCCAAACTTCTGAAGTTGTTTCCACTATACATTCAATAGAATAATCGTGGAAATTACCAGCAGGTTAATCAATAGTGAACTTAATCAGTAGTTGCTAAATTGTTGTGTTTGTGAATTTAACTTTACATGTAATGATTATTGCACTGACACATCTGACAGGCAAGCAACATTGTTTCTTTCAGCAAGATGTACTTAATAACAAACTAGTATTTCAGATAACAGGCATCAGTATGGCGTCAGATTTGTAAAGGTCATTGTGCAGCAAGACCAGAGATCCACATAGTAAGAGACTAAAATGTTCCCTTAAGGGATTGTATGTTAGTCCAACCTCAGGCTACCGAGCTGAACGTTACAGATGAGTCCACATGGAAGTATGGTTTATTCATTATGGATAAAGTGCAGAGGTGATTAGAGTAAGGCGTCTGTGAGCACCGAGACCCCTGTTGTGGCTTTTTTTTTTTCAGTTAAGGAAACAAGGGCGGTACTAGTGGACAAAATTCTGAAGCTCAATTTTAAATCAACCCTCACTCCTTAAAAATGACAAGACAGAGGCAAATTAGGTATTTATGCTTGGCTTTTAAAGTGGAACTATTTAGTCCTATGTTTCAAAGTTGTACAGGCTTTAAAGTTTGGGGTTGATTTTAAATTGAGG